TTTAAAATTTAAAGATGCCATGTGCCATGTTGTAGACCGAAAAAAATTATAAAACTTTCAAATTTAAATGAAATATTTTTAGGTGTTTCTTAGAAATCACCCTGTAATTCATAAAGAATTTGGCAACACTGTAAACGAATCTTGAATGAGCATCAAAAAAGGCAACTTTTTTCCAATTTAACCGACCTTGTAGCTCTTACCATTTCGGATATAGCAATAGTGGTATCACTTAAAATATACACCCTGTATAAAACTAGTGAAAACGAAATAAAACCACTTTTGAATACAGCTTATATCCATTTACATAGGTGGACCATTTTATTGGTATTTTCACCCTCTACCTGTCAACCCCTAAGCGGGGATGACAGGTACCCCCGGAATTTCAAATAGGGTGATACGTCATTTGATAGTCATTTTTGAATATATTATATGCTCGAAATTTCAAGTTGCTACTATTTACCCTGCTGAAATGGCAGCTTGTCAAAGTTAGGAAATAGTACATTGTATCACTTGAACCCCCTTTCCATTTGAAATTTTGCCGGTACTTGTCACCGTCTCCCCTGCTCAGGGATTGACATGCAAGGGGTGGAAATAGTAATAAAATGTGTCCCCCAAAAAACATTGACGTGGCCGAACGGTTTTTGATTAATCACCTAACACCTAGGAAAATCTAGGTCAAAGCTTTTCGTGCCCCACCCTGTATAACTTACAAACTATCTGGAATTTTTTCATTCAAAACAATCAATAAACATTCACTAAAACCTTCAGCAGCAAACTTTATCTAACTTCCGTTGCCTTTGGGGGTGTCCACTGGCGGCCATTTTAGAAAACCGCCGCCACTGCCGTGGGGGCAGTTGGCCGATGGCTCCACATCCAAATTCAATCATATTACATCGGTCTACCTCTGTGCCAAATTTGGTGCCTTTATCAAAAAGTGCACAATATGATGAAATATCCTAGCTAAGCTGCCGCACTGCTAGAAGAATAGGCAAAAATTGAGATAGATAAATTAACAAATGGAGAAGAAATAGAGTGAAATGGGAAAGCCTGGAATAGAAAAACTATTTGCCTCAAATTTCTACTTCATTTCTCAATTTGTCTGTCTCAACTGAAAATCCCTTGTGAGTAGATTGTTGTCAGGAATGGAATAAATCGATTTTTTTTTGCTACTGCCTAATCGATGACGTACTAAAAAAACCAATTTGGAGTTTTTTCTTACATAATTATGATGTTTAATTGATATAAAATCGATTGAAAATACCTACTTGCGTATAAACCGTTTTGTTTGAGAACATCTTATGAAAATAAACCTATTACAATGATTGAAGATAATTCACGTCTATCAAGTTAGCAATACCACATGCACGCCGGAAGTTGACGTTAAGTGATTTATTTCCTACTGAACTATTATAACCATATAATACCTGGGTTACGATAATCATAAACAGGATCTTAACTCCCAAGGGGGTTAAGGATTTCATAACTCCCGCACGGGAGTTAAGGATATCATAACTCCCAAGGGAGTTAAGGATTTCCATAAGTCTCGCTTTTACCTTGAATAGGTGAAATTTTGACAAAAAATAGAAATTTTGGTTTATGGTTTATTCCTTTATAAAAATGGACAAAATACAGTAAATTCAGTAGGAAATAAAATTATCTAGGTACCACGGGAATTATCAGGTGTTAATACCCACGGGCAATTAGTGTCACAAACTTTGCCCTGGGGTAGTAACACCCTCATAATTCCCTTGATACATAAATAACTATAATATGTCGCCCTTTTGTCGTGCAAGCTTTTTTATTTTCTTAAATACCCTGGTAGCGCTAACTTGATATCGAGTTAGCATTAAACATAAAAAAAATGAAATTTCTTCATTTTAGTAGGTAATTAGGTAGCTACCTTATGACACATGACTTACATAGATTACTGAAAAAAATTTCTGAGTGCCTTTTTTCATAAATTTCATCCATTTAGTAAGAAGGTTGATTATTAAGATTTTGGAAAACTTTGGAAGATCATATTCCATTCTTATTCCAGTAGAGGACTACAATCCCTAAAAATTTCAACTCGTTCGGAATTATAGTTCCTGAGATAAAATCGTGTTAAGCAATATGGGGTGTTTTATCAATTTTTCAATTTTTCTGAGTGCCTTTTTCCATAGATTTCGGCTTCAAATCTGAGAATAATTTAGCGTATGGAGTTTGTGGGATCCCAAATGACCATTAGGATACAAAATCTCAACAAAAAAAAATGAAATTTCATCCATTTAGTAAGAAGATTTTCAGCGATTCTTATTCCGGTAGAGGAATACAATCCCTGAAAATTTCAACTCATTCGGACTTATAGTTCCTGAGACAAAATCGTGTGAAGTGCCTTTTTCCATAGATTTCGGCTTCAAATCTGAGAATAATTAAGTGTATGGAGTTTGTGGGATCCCAAATGACCATTAGGACACAAAATCTCAGCAAAAAAAAAATTGAAATTTTCGACCAAGTTCCAGAAATAAAATCGTGTTAAGCAATTTAAAGTGAAATTATCAATTTTTTTAATTTTCTGAGTGCCTTTTTTCATAAATTTCGGCTTTATATCTCGGAATAATTTAGTGTATATAGAGTTTGGGGTCGGGAGATCCCAGAGGATCATCAGAACACAAAATCTCAACATAAAAAAATTTCATCATTTTAGTACTTTACTTTATGATTTAGATTTTTAGAAACTACAAAAAATCATAAGTTTTTTTTTATCATAGATACTTACAAAGCTGAAATTTTCAGCGTTTCTTATCTCAGTAAAGGACTACAATCCCTGAAAATTTTTAAGCTCATTTGGACTTAGAGTTTCAGAAATAAAACCATGTTAAGAAATTTAGGGTAAATTTATCAATTTACAATTTTTCTGAGTGCCTTTTCTCATAGATTTCAACTTCAAATCTCAGAATACTTCAATGTATGGAGTTGGAGGGGGGCCCCACAAATTCTCAACATAAAAAAAAAAATTGAAACTTCATCATTATCTACATAGTACCTAATCCCAGTACATAATATCTGATGCATATGATAAGTACAGGTGGTACCTACATAAAAAAATAATGATAATTGTTTTGGAAATTTTTGCCGCTTGAATAATGATCATTCTCAAATCTCAAAATCAGAATTATTCCAGGTTTTTCAACACATTTTCGAAACAATCTGGTATTGATGTTTCGTATATTTCAGCAAGGATTTATTTATCTCATATTATACCTAATTGATGAATTATCACTAGAGTCCGGATTAAAAAGCATAAAAAAAGTTGAAATAAGCGCTTAAAAAGCATGTAATTTTTCACAAAAAAAAAGCATGGAATATGCCTGAACAAGGCCAAAAAAGCAAAAAAAGTGGAATAAAAATGTATTGCTTATCTATAGAATACATGATGAAAAATATAATAGGTAACTTAACATTGAAATAAACAAAACAAGTATCTAATGAACAACAAAAAAAAAATAGTTCTTGTAGAAACAAGCAATAACTAAATGCTGATTTAAATGTTCCATAGTAAAGTTTAGTCTTCTGTAACTTAAAATGTTTTTGTAGTTGGAAAAACTTCTTTCTACGTCAGCACTTGTTATGGACGCGTATTTAAGTTTTGCAACCAAATATGGGTTCATTTGTAACTCTATGGCTCGGTTTATTCATCTTCAGATAAACTTGTTGGTAACTATCTCCAAGATAAATTTACCGCTCTATAATTCTATTGGTCAGCGGATAACTGGTCGACCGATGAGATTACAGATTGCATGTGTTTTTATCCGTCAGATTGCATACCTGACGGTTTATCACAAGGTGAAATAAACTAGCCCTAAGTCAGTACTTCCTACCTGCAACTAGTACCATCTATTGGTTTTTGGGCTGGGGTTTCCCGCGTATTATCGATTTTAGAAAAGAGAAACAGAGTGGGCGAGACTCGCGAGACAGGAGGTTTGTTTATTTTATTTCGAGTTGATATAAGAGTGTGCGTGTGCGATATATTATACTTTTCAGGACAAAAAAATCTAAAAAAAGCTGTAAATAAGCACAAACCATAAAATAAGCATAAAACTTGAAAAAAAGCAAAATAAACATTAAAAACAGTGCATTTTCGACATTGTTTTTGTCTAATTCGTTAATATTTTGAGTCGTTTTATATTTGCTTGTAATATCAACAAAAAGCATAATGCCTTGAAATCCGGACTCTAATTATCACTATGAAGTAATAAAAAAAGGGACCAGGGTAATGTAAATAAGCTTGTTCCTTTCTTTTATTACATATTTTAATATTCGTCATTCAGCAGTAGACTATCATGGAGGAATAAGCTATTAGAAAAATAATAGCTATATAAGCATTTCGAGTTTAGTGAGCATTCTTGACCAAATTTTCTAATAATTGATTAATGTACAAATTATTAAATTTCGTAAGTACCAACAACTACTTCTAGTTAAGCAAGTTATTGGGCTTTGAGCATTTGGCTGTAAATGTTTTCAATAACTTCCTCTCTAAATGATTACCATTTTTTACCAATTGAAGTTGCGTTTCACTGACATCCAGAACAACAATTCGTGGTTTAATTATTTCTTTTTGGTAATTGGTGTCCCCTGGGGAGGCCGTTCGCCATAATAGGTTAGGATCCCATTTGTTGCACGATTATACTATTTAAGGTAAGTGTAGCAGAGGGGCACTACCGAATGCCGGCGAGAAATGGTTGAATTATGATTTGCTGTTGGATGTCAGCTGCACAATGTGATTCCAAGTGTATTATTAAGCCTACTGGGTCATATAAGAAAAGCCAAATGCTAAAGAACTTTGCCAGGCAAACCTTAGGATTTAGATTTCTGAAAACTTTGAAAAGTCTTAACTTTTTTTCTATTCTGGATAGAAAGTTGAAATTTTCATTGATAGAAGCGACATTTATTTTTTTGCACGACAAATTATTCAGTTAATAAAACTTCTGTAGGAATATCCATTAAAAATCTCTACTTACCTATGACTATGTCCGTTGGTAAGTTGGGCAGGCGTAAACCCATTGGTTATTATACTAGGCATTGGCGTAGAAGGTTCACTAACGCTATCCTCATCTTCTAGTGTCAGGTATCTCGCTATGTTTTCTAAACTTACACGGTTCAAGTGTTTTACTTTGAGTAAGTCATTAATCTGAAAAAGAAAATGAATCTTCAATAGTTAGTTGAATAATTGATTTGGCATTTAAAAAGGAAAATGAATTTTGAAAAGGATACTGACAATATCATCCCTTGTGAAGCATTAAATCAAATACCTTGGTGTAACAAAAGCATAATCTGAATAATTTTTCAAGCAACAAAGAAATTGCAAAAATGTAAAACTACTTTTCGCGGTCAGTTATACAAATATCACACTCAAAGATAAGGTTTTATCAAAATTTGAAATAATTGAAAACAAAATCCTTTCTCATAACAATGTATCAATTTCAAGGAGTCCACAACCAAATCATGTGATTTTTCATAAATTAATTATCGATTATAATTTATAATGCATGACAGATCAAAGATGATAAATATGTTATAATTCCTTTATACTTTGTATTTAACTAATCTTCAATTATTAGGTACATCAATCTATTGCAAAAAGGAGATTATATGGTGTTCTGCCTATAAATTTAAGAGATATTACTTAGTGAATAAGTGTGTACTTTGTTTCGATGATTACTCCTTCAAAATATCGTTTTAATCTAAGGTAAAGGTTCATGACTTTTTAGTCAAAACTTATTAAAACAATTATGGCAATATCAGAAATAGATTAGATTAGTAAATAATTGAAGATAAAAAGAAAATGAATACCTATAGAAACAATACATATCAATGCTGAAATTTGAACAAAAGTTATCCAATTTTGACACATTAAAAATGCTAAGCGAGATAAAAAGATTCCAACAACTACAAAATGATTTTTTTTGTACAAAGTAGGTACTTAAGCCCTAAAACCGATGTATAACAAAGTTAACTTTACAACAGGACAAGGCTTAAAACTGTTTACAACAGTATTAAAGCTGGTTGATTTAATTCTGTGTTATACGGTTTCAATTGCAGGATATGAATTTTCTTAGCAGCGCAATAATGCATCATAAGTTGACGTAAAACCATAAGGTAATTAGCAACAAATCTATTATTACCTGTTGCAAATTAATTTATCATTGTCTGTTTGTGATGAGGTAATAATTAAATTAGGATATTATACGTATTTTTAGCAGATTTTATGATTTTGTTTATAAATTGACAATATAAAAATGGCTAGCTAAAAGGCCAGAAATAATATAATGGATAAGACATCTATCTATAGCAGATTCGTAATTTTTAGCAATTTTTCAGTCAGCCACTAGCAATTTTATCGAGGGGTTTTTCACCTAACAAAATTTGTACACCGATTAACAGTACTAACTGAGATATTTCCATGTATTAACAGATATCTCTATGTACCTAATAACAAGTTATTGCCAACTATTCCCATGTCTCGTTTCATGTATTCACAAAATATTTCCACAAATTGCCAGGTATTTCCTTAGTATTATCACATATTACCAAGTATTGCCATGCTATTGACAGACTAAAATCAAATATTTGTCTTGCTAGAATTCTAGGTATTGACATATCCACTATTACATGTTATTAATGGGTATCAACCAATGACATTAAGATATATTCCCAGATATCTACAAGTATTGACATATATTACCTATATAATTAACAAGTAGGTATTGCATAGTATTGACACTATTGACATATAGTATTTAGTCTGGTATTGATATATATTAACCACTGATTTGTACACCGATTAACAAGGTGAAAACCCCTTCGAATTTTATAAACGCTGCAAAAAATAAAACAATATTTCTATTAGGCATTTTCTCAATTCCTCTACACAACATCTATCTAAATGTAAATTTGGCTTTCTTAATATTTTATGCAGCTTTTTGCAAACCGAGTCGCAAACCTTGCAAGATAATTTCATAATTGTTTTGGGCTCAAAAACACCTAATAGCGTCTGTATAGAATAGTTTAATTGAAACTTTCTCAGAGTTGGCATACACAAAACCCATTGGGCTTTAAGCTTTTTGTGTAAAGAAAATCCTAAGGGAAAATCTCGGAAAAAATAGCAGACTACTTAATAGATAAATCTCGAGATAAATTAACAATATTTAGATACAAAAGTAAAAATCAGAAGGAACTTTTCTCAAGATAACTACTAGTACTCGTACTAGTAGTAACGTAACTAAAAAAAGAATTTGTACTAATAAACTAGTAAATAAATACCTACCTAATTGAAACTAAAATTGATATCTTAATTAACAGGTTTGTAGTGAATTTATTTGGCTTTCATTAGAGCTTAACTTCATTAAAATAGGATAAAAATTAAAGGACCAGGGAGGCAAAAACTGTCTCGGTGTCATTTTTGGAAAATTTTCAATGTTTGATAAATTCAATTTTGAAACTTCTCAAGTGCAAAACTGTTGAAACCAAATTAAAATCTTAAATAATGGGTTTGTAGAGAATTTAATTGGCTTTAATAAGAGCTTAATTACATTGAAATCGGATTAAAATTAACGCAGCTGTGAGGCAAAAACTGTCTCAGTGTCATTTTTGAAAAAAAATCAATGTTCGATAATAGTTATTTATTATACAAGGGAAAAATGTACTAGATTTTAGCGCAAGGTGTGGTTGGTCCAACATGGCGAGCGCTAAAATCTTACTTTTTTCCCATATACCTATAATATACTATTTTTTTCTGCGACGGGAAAATCTCACCATTTTCCATCTATACATTATTCCCTTTGAGAAAAAAATTTGACTGGTACCTGTTACTTTTTTCCCTCGGGAAAAAAAAATCACTGGGGAAAAAGTGACATTTTTGCCCCTGTCAACAGGTACAAAAAGTCTACTTTTTTCCCGTTACAGAAAAAATGTAATTTTCAAGCTTCTCAACTGTTGAAACGTTGAAACTAAATTAAAGTCTTAACTGATAAGTTAGTAGAGCCTAATTGCGTTGAAATCGGATAAATATTCAAGGAGCTGTGACGCAAAACCGTCTTAGTGTCATTTTTGGAAAATTTTCCATGTTCGATACATTCAATTTTGAAGCTTCTCAGGTGTCAAACTGTTGGAATCAAATTAAAATCTTACTTAATAGGTCTGTAGAAAATTCAATTAGCTTCAATTAGAGCTTAACTACATTGAAGTCGAATGGAAATTAATAAAGCTGTGAAGCAAAAACTGTCGCAGTGTCATTTTTGGCAAATTTTCAATGTTCGATAAATTCAATTTTGAAGTTAAAAATTCGAGTAAAAATTATTGAAGTTTTGGACTAATGAGTAGAAAGTACATTTCATGAGTAAATTGAGTTCTACTCATTGAGTAGCAATCAACTCATTGATGAATCATTCTGATATAAAAATGAGAAGATTTTGAACTCGATTTTGAATTAATGAGTTGATGCATGCAAAAATGATTAAAATCTGCAAAAATCAATTGTGCAAAATACTTCCAATGATCACAGTGACTTAAAACTTTCAGGATTTATTAATCAAAGTTGCTTTTTTATGGAAAACTCAATTGGAGGTGAATTTAAAGGTCTCAATTGAATTTGAACGGTTTTCTCATGTTGATGTATGCAAAACTTTAAAAGTGTGCAAAAGTCACTTGTACAAAACTGCAAAATACTTCTAATGATCATAGTAACTTAAAACTTTCAGGATTTCTGGAATAAAGTTTTTTTCTATGGAAAACTCAATTGGAGGTAAATTTGGAGCTCTCAATTGAATTTGAAAGGTTTTTCTCATGTTGATGCATGCAAAACTTTAAAAGTTTTCAAAAGTCGCTTGTGCAAAATATTTCTAATGATCACAGTAACTTGACGCTTTCAGGATTTACTCGAGGATTTATGAATTGAATTCTTTTGTGAATTTGAACTTCTGAAGCTCTTAATTGAATTTGAAAGGTTTTTTTCATATTGATGTATGCAAAACTTTAAAATTGTGCAAAAGTCACTTGTTCAAAATACTTCTAATGATCACCTCGATGTTATTAATGCATCAAAGTTTTTTTCACATGAAAAAGTTTATTTGAAGCTGCAAATTAAAGTTGAAAAAACTGTAAAAATGTGCTGACCTGAAAATTAGCTAGTTTTTGAATTAATGAGTGGAAATTCTAAAATAAAAATGGATGAGTTTACCCAAGGTGGTTCACCAAGAGGGGTTTATCCCTCGATGGAAAGGTTTGTAGAGAATTTAATTGGCTTTAACTAGAGCCTAACTACATTTTGAAATCAGATAAAAATTATCAAAGCTGTGAGGCAAAAACTGGATTGGATAAATTCAATTTTGAAGCTTCTCAGGTACAAAATTGTTGAAACGAATATACCTACAATTTTGTCTAGTTGAGAAAACACAAAATCGTACAAAACCGTAGACAAAAACCCAACAACCTAATAGAAATTTTCAAAAATCCGGGTTTTTGCCAACCCTGGATACTCGGAGTGATATTTTCGAGGATATTTTGCAAGTGTATGGAAAAAGGATTGAAATTCAGGAAAAAAAAATTCCTTCTAACTTTGAAGCTACGTGTAGCTGCGAAATTTTCCAGTTCGTTTTTGAAGCTGCATTGAAACTATTCAGAATAGATTTGTGAAGGATTTGATTGGCTTCAATTGAAGCCTAATTACCTTCAGATCGGATTGAAATTGACAAAGTTATGAGGCAAAATGTGTGTTGATGTTCCTTTGGAATACTTAAATCAAATTTTCAAAAAACGACATTGAACGACGTTTTATTTATTTTTTGAGGCAAATGTTTGACCAACTGGATTGAAATTTTGTGAATGGATAGAGAAAAGATTGAAATTTAGGAAAAAAATAAATAAAATTTCCCTCTCCTTGGTCACCTTGATAAAAATCCGAGTGAAAATCAAAGATAAAATCAGTACTTTGAAGCTATGCATCTGAGAAACTATTGAAGCTGCATTAAAACCTCGATTAAAACTGTTGTTTATTTTTTAATTTTTCCATTCCCTCGTCCATTCTATGCTGATAAGTATAGATTTTTTTATTTAGAGAAGGAATACATGAAACAAATTCAAGAGCCTGGAATAAATAAATTACTTATTAGATGAAAAAAAGTAGGTAACTATGGAAAAACCTTGGGAGAAACAAAGATAAATTGAGTGGAGCAAGGAATGAAAAATTCAAAAAAAGAAAAAAATTACTAGGTATCTATATATCTATCTACACTTGTATCTACATGATGGAGAAAAAAATTGATATACCTAGCTACGATAAGCTACATACCAAGGGGCACACCACCTAGGAATTCTTTACCAAAAATGTGGGGAATTTAGAGGAATTTGTGGGGAATTTGAAGGAACTCATCGGAATTTATGAAAATTTGGGGAATTTATAGGGAATGAGGAGAAATGTATGGGGAATTTGTGAGGAATTTATGAGGAATTTGAAGGAAATTGTCGAGGAAATTGTAGAGTCATGACGTCACTGAGGTTCACAAATCTAGTTTTGTGTTGAACATTGTAAATTTATTTTCATTGAAGAAATTCTCCCAAAATTACACTCCATGATTTACAGGTCCAAATTTAAAAAATTCAAAACAATAATGTTTTTGTAGGCTGATTTCCAAAATTCTTCATGTTGTTATTTTCCACTGGAAGAATTTGAAATTTTGGGAAAATGAGCTTCTAACCTTCCTCTTCACCTGTAAAAAGTTTCAAATTTTTCCGTTCACTGGTGTTCCAGGAACACTTCTAAATGTGTGAGAGTGTATTTACAATTAATTCAGTTATTGTAGGTTGATTTCCAATATTCCTCATGTTGTTATTTTCCACTGGAAAAATTTGAAATTTTGGGAAAATGAGCTTCTCAGCTTCCTCTTTACATGCAAAAATTTTCAAAATTTTCCCTTAATTAGTTTTCCAGGAAAACTTTGAATTGTGTGAGACTATATTAACAATTAATTCAGTTTTTGTAAGATGATTTCCATGATCTTTCATGTTGTTATTTTCAAATGGAAAAATTTAAAATTATGGGAAAATGAGCCTTTGACCTTCCTCTTCACATGCAAAAAGTTTCAAATTTTCCCTTCACTAGTTTTCCAGGAAATCTTTGAATTGTGTGAGACAGTATTTTTAATTAATTCAGTTATTGTAAGTTTATTTCCAAGATTCTTTATGTTGTTATTTTCCACTAGAAAAATTTGAAATTTTGGGAGAATGATTATCTAACCTTCCTCTTCACATGCAAAAAGTTTCAATTTTTTTCCTTCACTAGTATTCCAGGAAAACTTTAAAATGTGTGAGACTGTATTTTCAATTAGTACAGATTTTGTAAGTTGATTTCCAAGATTCTTCATGATGCTATTTTCCACTGGAAAAAATTGAAATTTCGGAAAAATGAGCCTGTAACCTTCCTCTTTCTTTACATATGAAAAGTTTCAAATTTTTCCCTTCTCTAGTTTTCCAGGAAAACTTTGAAAGGTGTGAGACTGTATATTTTCAATTAATTCAGTTATTGTAGGTTGATTTACAAGATTCCTGCTGTTGTTATTTTCTAATGGAAAAATTTGAAACTCTGAGATAATGAGCTTCTAACCTTTCTCTTCACATGCAAAAAGTTTCAAATTTCTCTCTTCACTAGTATTTCAGGAAAACTTTGAAATGTGTGAGACTATATTTTCAATTAATTCAATTTTTGTAAGTTGATTTCCAAGATTCTTCATGTGGTTATTTTCCGCTGAAAAAATTTGAAATTTTGGGAAAATGAGCTCCTCTCTACATGCAAAAAGTTTCAAAATTTTCCCTCAACCCCGAGCTTAATTAGTTTACCAGGAAAAATTTGAATTGTGTTGTGTGAAACTGTATTAACAATTATTTCAGTTTTTGTAAGTTGATTTCCATGATTTTTCATGTTATTCTTTTCCAATGGAAAAATTAAAAATTACGGGAAAATGAGCCTCGAAACTTTTTCTTCACATGCAAAAAATTTCAAATTTTTCCGTTCAATAGCTTTCCAGGAAAACTTTGAATTGTTTGAGACAGTATTTTTAATTATTTCCGTTATTGTGAGCTGATTTCCAAGATCCTTTATGTTGTTATTTTTCACTGGAAAAATTTTAAATTTTGGGAAAATGAGTCTCTAACCTTCCTCTTCACATGCAAAAAGTTTCAAATTTTTCCCTTCACTAGTTTTCCAGGAAAACTTTGAAATGTGTGAGACTGTATTTTCAATTACATAGTTCAGTTTTTGTAGGTTGATTTCTAAGATTCTTCGAGTTGCTATTTTCCACTGGAAAAAATTGAAATTTCGGGAAAATGATCCTCTAACCGAGCTTCTAACCTTCCTTTTCACATGCAAAAAGTTTCAAAATTTTCCCTTCGGTAGTTTTCCAGGAAAATTTTGAAATGTGTGAGTCTGTATTTCAATTAATTCAGTTATTGGAGGTTGATTTCCAATATTCTTCATGTTGTTATTTTTCACTGGAAAAATTTGAAATTTTGTGAAAATGAGCCTCTGACGAGGCCTCTGACCTTCCTCTTCACATGCAAAAAATTTAAAAATTTTCCCTTAATTGGTTTTCCAGAAAAACGTTGAATTGTGTGAGCCTGCATTAACAATTATTTCAGTTTTTGTCAGTTGATTTCTAAGATTTTTCATGTTATTATTTTCCACTAGAAAAATTTGAAATTTCGGGAAAATGAGCTTCTCCCCCGAGTTCTCCCCTTTCTCTTTAAATGCAAAAAGTTTCAAATTTTTCCTTTCACTAGTTTTCCAGGAAAATTTTGAAATGTGTGAGACTATATTTTCAATTAATTCACTTATTGTAGGTTCATTTTTAAGATTCTTCATGTTGCTATTTTCTACTCTCGATTGAATTTATTGTTTATGGTCTTGAAAACTTGTTCAACTTTCAGGAAAAGGTCCATTCAAAATAAAAAGGAGCATTATACTATCTATTCACAATCCGATGTCCAAAGGTAAAGGTAAAATTTATCACCTTTCAGTGCTATTTGATAGGGAAAAGTGATAAATTTACCCTTATCTTTGGACTAGGGATTGTGAATAGGATATACCGAGGGATATAGCTACCCTGAATATTGTGAAACAGTATACACCTACCTTTGTTTAAAAAGTAGCTACATGACGTGTATTATTCTTGGTATTATACTCGGTATTATATATACAGTTGAGTATACAGTATTACATTTTGTTTTTATTTCCTAAAAAGGTTTTTTTTTTATCAATTAGGTAATAATATCAAATGCGGGTTTAGGTTAGTTTAAACCCCTGAATTCTGGATTACCGAAAACGAATCATTAGTTCTAGCTCTAAAGTCAACTAACGTAACCTTGCATTGGATCCTACTCTCGATCCTACTTAATAAACTGTTCTTGTATTTTAACTAAGCAACATAAAAATGGAAAAAATGAATTTCTTATCACGAGCAATTATGGGGATTTTCAGGGAATTTCTAAGAGAGGGGAATTTGAGAGGAGTTTTGGAGGAATTTGCGGGAATTTGAAGGAATTTGCAGGGAATTTAAAGGAATTTGTGGGGTATTTGGAGAAATTTGTGGTGGGGTATTTGGAGGAATTTGTAATGGGGTACCTATCTGGAGGAATTTGTAGAAAATTTGGAGGAATTTGCAGGAATTTTGAGAAATTATGCTTAAAAAATTCCCCTTTGAGGAATTGTTTGCACAAATTCTGGGATGGTGGTTTACCCTCGGGTTCACCCCTTGCTACATACCTACTTACTCGCCTACTTAATACTTAAGGCTCGACTTAAGGTAAATTTAAAAAAAAAAAAATTATTGAAATACAGAAAAAATAGAAACTAATTCAAACTCTCCCTCAAACTGTATTAAATAGTTATGCTTGACAAAATTAGTTTAATATTTCCTTGAATATTTATAAATAACCGAGTAAATAACATTACAACCTCAATTACAACACAATATCGTTTTTTTAAATAGGTAAACACAAAAGTAATGACTTGCATACTTAACTGATCATCAACTTAAATTGTAAAACTTAAAATGTAAATCATAGGCGAAGATTTACAAATATGTACAGTCAAGTGTAAAGGTTCAGACCCCGGTGCAGACATTGACCCACATCACCTTTTTAACTACCAACAAGTCCAAAAACAATAAATTAAATTGTAGAAAATCATGTATAATTAATTCAAATTACAGGTTTTAAGAATAAAGGAGTTTCAAACAAAAACTTTATAGCCTACTTCAACATGTAACAATAAGTTATTATATGTTAATTGTAATTGTTGTATCTTTATCTGATAGAGAAGTGTAAAATAATTCTGGCTAAAAAAACAAGATAGCAAAAATTCATAAAGCAAGTTTGCATGATTTCAACTAGCTTGATCTCGAGATATTTTTTCTTAGGTAGTAATTAGGTACTGGAAAATTAATCTAATAATGAAACAAAGCTTACAATTACCTTTTTAAATTGTCCTTTTTTGAGTCTCTGAATCACAATTGCAGCAGCAACTTCTTGAGTTATCCCAGGAACAGTTTGCAACTCAAAAACGCTCGCCTTATTTACATTAATTAATCTAGTTGATCTACTTGTAGTCTTAGAATCGCCGCTCTTCAAACTATCATAACTGGGTGCTCTTGAAGACACACTCTTATTAAAATTCCTCCTCAAGTTGACACAAATTTCTGGTTTTATTTGCTGCAGCTTTTGCGCCCCTATGCCTGGCACCAGAGCCACATCTTCCACTTTTCTGTAGCGCCCTATGGCTTTTCTGTGCTCGACGATATTTTTGGCAACTTCTCTATTGATTCCAGGCAAAGTCATCAAATCTTCTTCGGTTGCAGTGTTGATGTTCAATAATTCCATTTGCTCGTCGATGTCTGGTATAGTAAAAGTATGACTGAGGTCCGGTTTCTGGCGTTTAATAAACGAACGTAGAGATTTTCTACGTCCCTTTGGTAGGCCCGCATTGTTACCCATTTCGCTTATATTAAAAACCATTTGTTGACCCCTTGTAACACCGAATCAAAGTTTATTCGATTGAGTCACACACTGCACTGGGAATTAATTACATTATTTATTATCGAGAAAAGAATTATCGGTCAGCCTTGGGCGACGCACGATTTCTCACTGTAATTTATCGCGACACATTATTGAACTTTGACCGTCAGATTAAATTGGAGACATTTTACCCACGAGTATCAGTATCGCGCTTTGATAAATGATTAAATGAATAAAAATAATCTATTATATTATTGTTGAAAATAAAAATTATCTGACATCCTAGGAGTGAGGTTATGATGATGTCACAATCAGCTGATTTTGATGAAGCGCTGTTGCCAAAATGTCTCAATTCAAAGATGATCCGTCATCCGTCACATTTGCCGAATGACAAAGTCAAAATCAGCTGTTTTAGGTTATGGTTATGATTCATGCCACTGTTCATGCGGATCAAAACAAAAACAAAAACATTTATAAAAATACTTTAAATAAATAAATGGGTGCTTTGTGATTACAACAAATATAATATTGATAATGGTATTCGATGCATCACCAGCAAGCAAACGTTATTCTTGAATCTCGTGCGGTAACATTATAGTGAGAAAAAAAAATAGTGAAACATGTTGAGTTTGTTATTGAAATTCACTATTTTAACGTTTTTACTGTTGAATATTTCATTGTAAGCATTTATTTTTATTTTACATTTGAAACTTTATTTCCCAGCCAAATTAATTTAATCTTTTTCAGGGAAATGATATGCATAGATAATTTAAAAAACTAATAACTTAAATTTCATACACATACATTCTTTCATCTAAAATACATTTAGGTAATACAATGTATAGGGTGTCCGTGGAGTGTATCGTATATCATTATTATTTTAGTTATCAATTTTATTGCATCTAGTGACAAAAGATTCATAATTCCATCACTGAGCCTGAGATCCACTCCCGGTTTGTTGTGTTCATTGAAAAGACCCTACTCAATATATTCTAAAAGTTTGAAGTCCCTCTGATTGCTTGAAATATTTTTCAGAAGCTTTCAAAGGTGATTTAGTAGGAATTTTACAAGACTTTTTTGCATTTAAGTGAGAAAAAATTCACAAATCCATTTCTGAGCTTGAAATCTACTCGCGGTTTGTTTTGTTTGATAAGAAGTCAAAGAGACCTAACTCAATAAATCCTGAAAGTTTGAAGGCCCTCTGATTGCTTGAAGTATTTTTCAGAAGCTTTCAAAAGTGATTCAATAGAAATTTCCGGAGAAATTTCACATGATTTTTCTGCATCTAAGTGAGAAAACATCTATAATTCTATAAGTGAGCCTGAGATCCGCTCGCGGTTTGTTTTGTTTGATAAAAAGACCCTACTCAATGAATCCTGAGAGTTTGAATTAAGTCCCTCTGATTGTTTGGAGTATTTTTCAGACTATTCCAGAGACCGAGGGGGAAACCACCTTAGAATTTTGGTGTACAAACTGATAGAATTTTTTAGAATTTCTTAGAATTTTTTAGAATTATCAGTATTTTTTAGCATTTTTTAGTATTTTCTAGCATTTTCTAGAATTATTTAGAATTTTTTAGTATTGTTCAGAATTGAATTAGAATTTTTTAGAAATAATTTAGAATTTTCACCTATTGCGCATGCTCAAGAGCCTGAATCTGTTGGGATTTTTGGAATTTTTTTTGAATTTTTAGAATTTATCAAGAATTAGCATTTTTCAGAATTTTAGAATTATTTTTGGTGTAAAAAATTAGGTAGGTGGGTTCCCCCGAGCGGGAAACCTTCTTAGAATTTTGGTGTACAGGGTGATCTATTATAAATGTCACCCTCTTATAACTTTTTCATTTGACATTTTTGACAAAAGTGTCAAATACAAGTTTCAATAAATTGTCGAAAGTTTTTAACGAAGTCAGTTTTAGGCATACAGGGTGTGTCAAAAAAGTGTAGCAGTGTGAAGTTATATTTTTTTAAATGAAACACCCTGCATATTGTGCGCTTATTTGTTAGTCCCTTTTAACCTGATTTCATCGATATACGATTTGATGTCTATCTTCGATATTTATAGGGAAAAACATGAAAACCCCTTTCAAGGTTTCATATTGAAAAAAGAAAAATTATACCATTTAAGCTTTAAAGAATTTTTTTTATGAACAGTTTATTGTTCAAATTTTATTCATTAATATACAAGGTGAAATATTATAATAAATCCAGTTATTATTATTATTTTTGAAAAAATAGCATGAGAGAACTAGCAAGGGATTTTCGCGTTTTTCCCTATAACAATTGAAGATAAACAGAGAGATAAACATATCAAACCGTATATCGTTGAAATGTGTGAAACGTTGAAAATGGTATGATCCTGGAACTGGTAAGGAGACTAACAAATAAGCGCACAATATACAGGGTGTTCCATTTAAAAAAATATAACTTCACACTGCTGCACTTTTTTGACGCACCCTGATGTATGCCTAACACTAACTTAGTTGAAGATTTTTGATAATTTCTTAAACTTTTGTATTTGACAGTTGACACTTCTGTCAAAAACGTCAAATGATAAAGTTAGCGGGGTCGACATTTATAATAGATCACCCTGTACAAACTGATAGAATTTTTAGAATTTCTGAGAATTTTTCAGAATTATCAGTATTTTTTGCATTTTTCAGTATTTTTTAGAATTGAACTAGAATTTTTTAGAAATAATTTAGAGTTTTTATCTATTGCGCATGCTCAAGAGCCTGCCCAATTTGTTGGGATTTTTTAGGATATTTTAGAATTTTTAGAATTTTTTGGGACAATAATAACATGAAAATAAGCATTTTTCAGAATTTTAGAATTTTTGGTGTACAAAATTAAGTAGGTGGATTCCCCCTCGCCAGAGACTTTCAAAAGTGATTTGATAGAAATTTTTGAGGAAATTTTACATGATTTTTCCACATTTAAGTGATAAAAAAATTCATAATTCCATTACTGAGCCTGAGATGTACAGATGTGACAAAAAGACCCTACTCAATAAATCCTGAAAGTTTGAAGTCCCTCTCATCCTCGCTCTCATCCCATATTTTTCAGAAACTATCAAAGGTGATTTAACAGAAATTTTATATGATTTTTCTGAGGATTTTTTGCATCTAAGTGAGAAAAAAGTCATAATGCGATTACTGAGCCCGAGATGTACTCGTGGTCTGATTTGTTTGATAAAAAAAAACCCTGCTCAATAAATCCTGAGAGTTTGAAGTCCCTCTGATTGGAGTATTTTTCAGAGACTTTCAAAAGTGATTTGATAGAAATTTTACTTGATTTTTCCATATTTAAGTGATAAAAAATTCATAGTTTGAGATTTCTTCGCGGTTTGTTTTGTTTGATAAAAATACCCCACTCAATTAATCCTGAAAGTTTAAAGTCCAGAGGAACTACAATCTGTTGCTAAGTCTCTGCAATAATATACAGGGCGTCGTGAATCTAATGACTAATGAATGATTCATCAAAGTATGATAAAATTCTCCAAGAAATTCTCTTACTACCTATGTTAATCAATGACTCGATCAATGACTTCCTATGAAGTCATTGAAAAAAGCTACTTGAAATTAGAGTATGAATTCGAAAATGTGAAAATATAGTAATTTAAAAAAATATAACTTTGTGTCAACACTACTTATTGGGCCACCCTGTATACTAGAAAATAATTATTTAAAAATGTAGTACTCATGTTTATCTACAAGTTTTGTATTTAGTTTTTTCTTTGATCTCCGTTAGTATAAGATTTTTATCAGGATATACAGGGTGTCCCACGGTGGATGGCGTATTAGACGTTTATGGAGAACTAAAAAGCGGATCATTTTGAAAATTTGGCAACCGGGATAAACGACCATAATCTACACTTTAAAAATATTTTTGTTTATGCAGTGTTGCCGCTTCTACTCTAAACTAGTGGCAACATCGCTATTTTAAATAGAACACCCTGTATGTGATTGCATATTTCGATTCTACGTAAAATTCTGAGCAGATTTCATGTTATATACCCTATACCTAAGTTCAACTGTTTTGGAAATAATGACAGTTCAAAATTGGCTTTTTGCAACTTTGACAGGCTGTAAAACCTGAACGGTTAATTTTAGAGGAAAACCGATTTTACATTCCTATCTTAGATGTTTATAAACTATAATTTGACACCAACTTTGTATTTAATCCATGATTAAAAATTCCAATTAAATTTAATCTCCGGTTAAATTCAGAATTGATGGTGTCAAATGATAGTTTATGAAAATCTAAGATAGGAATGTTAAATCGGTGTTCCTCTAAAATTAACCGTTTAGGTTTTACAACCTGTCAAAGTTGCAAAAACTCAATTTTCAACTGTCAATATTTCCCAAATAGTTGAACTTAGGTATAGGGTATATCACATGAAATGTGTTCAGAATTTTACGTAGAATCGAAATATGCAATCACATACAGGGTGTTCCATTTAAAATAGCGATGTTGCCACTGATTAAGAGTAGAAGCGGCAACACCGCATAAACAAAAATATTTTTAAACTGTACATTATGGTCGTTTATCCCGGTTGCCAAATTTTCAATATGATCCGCTTTTTAGTTCTCCATAAACGTCTAATACGCCATCCACCGTTGGACACCCTGTATTTATCACTGATATATATCCTGCCAACCCCAGGTGAAAGGGATTTTCTTTATCTTTTATAAAAGACTCAGTACATCTCGTGACTATACATGGCAAGTTACAAATTACCAGATCTTAAGTTTTCCTCTGGGTTTTCCTCAAAGAGTTTAATATCGAATTGACGTTTTCAATTAAAAGAGATGGATGATAAGTATGAAAACATTCATTTTCCCGCCAACATTTGCTTGCTTGTCAATGTCAATGTGTATTGGGTGGTTAGCAATCCCCTCGTTTTTATTCGAATCTTTGACTTCACCGATGAGTTAGCTATCTTTGTCAAGTGAATGGAAAGTGACAATGACCGACATAGAATGATGGATCCATCGGAAAAATTTGATATGACTAAAAACGCAGGGTTTGAAATTGGAAAGAAAATGTGGGAAAAGTCACTGCTTCATTCGGATAACTTCGCTTTGGAGACGGTGGTGGATTATTTTGGAAGCAAACAGCTTCTGCCAACTAAACTTGGACGTGGATTACTTTGTATACTTGATGAGCCGTGGATTTCCCTTTCTTTTGTGGGTATCCTTTCTGATTTTGTGTATCCAAAGTTTGACAAATGTAGGATTTGATAGAAACTTATGGAAAGACACGTCCGCCAGTGAATAGGAATTATTTTTATCAATAGGCACACTACACACAATCACCATTGTTAGGAAAAAACCTTGAAAACACCGAGGAAATAATAGTTTCTTTCAAAAGTGTTGTCTACAAACCACTGTCAACGGCTGTCAACCATTGTTTTCATACTTTTTTGGCGTCTGACAGTTTGATGCCAGAGAGAGAGGTTTTTAAATTGAAAAGGTCAATTACATTGCTTAGCCCCTGTGATGTTACAAAAATTTTCCAATATTGATTTCAAGTTTTGATTTGCTTGGTCGATATCAAATTTACAGCCTTTACCTTTACAGGTAGAAGAGAGGTGTAAATACAAAAGTTGTTCAGTTTCGACTGAATTTTTAAAATCCATGGTAAGAAACAAACATTGAATGTCAGATGTGAAATTTTG